TAAAATGGAGTACTACTCAGCCATAAAGAATGAGAAACTAGAGTCATTCATAGGAAAATGGATGCATATTGAGGCCACACTCTTAAGTGAAATAAATAGGACACACATGTGTATATGCCAAAAACTTTCTCTGGTATGAAAAACTGAAAGTGTAAGTAAGATCCAAATTGTATAACTGATAATGTGAAATAGGAAGAAAAGGGCTAAAGGTGTAGGGGAAGTAGGAAGGGTAGGGGAAAGGAAGTAAGGGAAAAGAAAAAAATATGAGAAAATGCAAAAATGGAAATAAAGTATTTGTAAATAGGGAAGGGAGGAGGGGGTGAAGGGAGGGCAGGGCTGAGGGGAAAAAATGAGAACCAAAACCTGTCATGTAAAGATACAAGATCCCAATGATGAATGTAACTGTACTGTATACTTAAAAAGTACCAGTAAATTTAATGAAGAAAAAAAAAGTGATGGAACACAAATGCAGTTAAATAGTGGACCATGGTGATGACTCTTCCACCATCTAGCCATGACTCTGGAAATTCAAGTAGAGGAGCTCACCAGCCCAAGTGAGCAAAGTGCTTGTGGTGAGGCTGAAGATGCCCAGAGAGGTGAAGCCTGCAGAAACTTCACAATAAATAAACTCTTGGAGATATTTTTCCTAATCAAAATTGGACAGGATAGCAAATTAGAAGGCAATCCAAATTCAGAAAGGAATATGACATTTACCAAGAGAGCCAAGATGCTCAGTACTCACTGTCAAAGTAAATGATTTTTAAGTGGCTCTTAACATTGTTTACAAAGAAATAAAATGTTTCCAGTATTTTACATTATATACTGAAAATTACTTTTACAAATTTTTCATTTCCCTAAGCATTTCTAACCAAAGTGAGATTTTAATGTTTTGATATAAATTTATAAAGGTCACAGAAAAACTGAAATTATGCCTCCAACCTTCACACCAGTCACTGCCTTGGTCTAAAACGCCTCCTCCCACCCATTTCCTATGTCTGACAATCTCTCACGCATCTTCCAAAACCTAGTTCAAATGTTAAGGCTGCTTTGTGTATGTTCATCTGGCACCGTCATGATTTTAGTCTGAGAGGACTGCACACCCAAGTTAATGGTCTATAAAATCCTCGCAGCCTGAAAATTGTACAGATAAACTATGGGATAAGTTTATTTGGGCCACTCATTTAGCATTTTGGTAAAAACAGCTTACCTTGACGAGTGGTATGGCATAAGGACAATGAACCAGACTGGGATTTGGGTAGGCTTGTGTTCTGGTGTCAGCTTTGTAGTTAAATGCAATCCAGGGCAAGTTGCTTAACCTCTTTGTTTTTACAGAGTCCGTCAAAAAAATGTATACACACTTAAGGAAAAGAAAAATGTATGATGCTTTTTCAATAGATGGTGTTACCTTTATATGGGGTACCACAGAATCTGTATATTACAGAAAACTTACTACCTTGCTGGCTGTTAGAGAAGGAATTGAAAACATGTGCAGCCATCTCAGTGACCAATGTTACCCAAGCACATTAACAAATGTCTGAAAGCTAATGGCCACCATTCTGAGTATCTCTTGTAATTGTAGAGGTCAAAGGTAATTTCTATTAGTCTCAAGATGTTGCAATAAATTCAATATTAAAAAATTTATATGTTTTTCTTTTCCTGAAGTGTGTATACATTTTTATTTGGCAGACTGTAGTTTTTCCTCTGTAAAATAGGTTGTGAATAGGACAATTTTCAAAGGTTTGAGGGCACTATATTTCTATAATTCTCTTCTATTATCAAAGAGAGTTACAAGGAGGGTGTAAAGTTCCCTAAAACTGTTAGTGTGCATAGGAAGTCAATATTGAGTGAATCTATAATCAGCTTGACTTGGATGGGTTAAGGTTATGAATGGACTGTTTGATTCTTGTGACACACTATTTTACTATTTTTCTATTTCCATTACATATTAAGCTTCAGCTCTTCGATAGCTTAGGGCACATTGCTATGTCTTCAGCTGGGTTGACTGTTCATATATTCATGAAGCACAATGCTGGGCCCTACAGAAAAACTTAATTCCTGCCCTGGAGGATCTCATGGTACAATGAGAAAAACAACTCATTCTTCCTGCTGGAGAGACATGAAAATTTGGTTTTGAAGAATGGATATGATAGTTCATGATAAAGAGAAGTTAAGAGTATGAGGAGGGCACTTTAGGAAGAGGGCATGGTTGGTGCAAAGGCATGGGTACACACAGTAATATTATTAATTAAAGCAAAGCGACTGGAGTGATTGATAGATGAATTGGGGAAAAGGTGGGAGAAGTGGTGGGAAGTAAGACTGCTGTGTAGAAATTAGAAACAGTAGGTATTTCTAGCAGGAAAGTTTTAATTCAGGGAGTTAGGTGCTTAATACATAAATGGAGAGAAGGGAGGAAAAGTAGAGTTGTTGTAAAATGTTGAGGTCATATCTCGACTGCTGTTACACAGAGGATGTAAAGGTGTTGTTTTCCCAATGGGTGGAAACAGGATAAAAGCACTGCTGTTACAGATGCCACAAAGATCTGAACTAGGATGACTCCTGTACAGAGTCTGCTGTATGAGTTTCTCCTGTGAGAGCAATGACAGCCAGTCTTGTGTATCTTAAGTGACAAAATCACATCTAGAACCTGGGTAGCAAGGGAATCTGAGAATTGTAGTTTCCAGGCTTCCAGTCCCTGTGATAGAAGGGGAGCAGAAATGAGTGGTGTGTGTCAAAAAGCAGTAACTTCCTTAGTTGGCAACACAGGTTGGAACTAAATGGTCAAGGGCTTGGAGGGGCATCCCAGTTAAGAAAAGTGTGGGATGCTTCTGGAAATTTAAAAGCGGGACTGTCATGATTATATTTTTTTTGTGTGAAAATTGGTGCTACAATACAGTTCATTCTTATGAACTAAAAACAAACAAAAAACCCCACCAAGCTATATGGCAGTAATTTATTAAATAGCTGTTATGCAGAGTAGAACCATGTAATTAATGTAAGAGCCTTCTTAAAGCTTTTTTTTTTTCAATATTAGTGGCAATCTATTCATCCAATGTTCTTTTTCCAGTTTTTTATTGGGTGTACATTTGTAACAGGCACCATGGATACAATAAAAGTCATCTGTGATCTCTGCCCTTAACAATCTGAATCATTTTTCTTTTCAGGGAAAAATAACATTTTAAGTTGGTTTGGAAGATTGATCCACTGCATCTCAAAGTATCTTCTGCTGAAATCTAGTCTCATAAAATGCTATTGAAAATGATCTCATAATGATCATTTAAAGCTTTTAATTTATATAATTTCCTATTAATTTAAGCCTCCAGTAAAATTTACAGTAAAAATTAACTATTAAATTTTATTTTATAAGCATTACCCACTTTTGACTTTTAATATCCATTAGTAGCTGAGTTCCTCAGAGCAGCTGGGGAGACTGGACACTTCTATAGGAGAGCCAGTCAAATTGAAGGCCAATGGACTATTTATAAAAATATTTAGCTGTGAGAAAATGGAAAGAAATTGATTTTAGCTGAGGTATAATTTCTTATATTTGGATGCATTTTCAAGTAGAAAAGACATTTTAATGCTAAAAATATAGCTCTCAAGAATACTTTGATAAATATGAAACAATAAGTGCTACAATAATCACCTAGGAACATACAGATTCTGGATTTTAACAAAATAAATGGTGAGCTTCAAAATGCTATATTCTAAAGTTGTTGGACTCCATAGAATTGGTAAAGGAGGTTTTGCAGAACTAGCTTTACAACTACTAAATACTCTCTCAAAAGGTTGAGGGAATAGAAACAAATGGATTTAGGCAAGTTTTTCTTTGGAAAATGATGCAGATTGCTCAGCTCTGCACTCAAGAGCCACACGGGGGTGCTGTTTGGGTCTTCTTGGCTCCAATGTCTGCCCTGCAATAGGAAATGTGTGCTTGGTATCTGACTTGCTTAGGGGCAGGCAGGTGAGCCACCAGCTTTGGAAGTGAAGAGGTTGTTTTAAGTTTGGTTGGGCTTTCTTAGAATTAGGGAAAAAGGCATCAACTGTGGGCTAATGGAGAGCCTGTAACTTCTTAAAATCCTGCCTATGAGGTGTGGATGTCAGGAAAGCCAGAGGCCATGGGAAGATGGTAGTTGGAGGAAAATGAATTGCCTGTATCACAGGGAGCTCAAGATCCACCCCAAGATGAGTCCTTTGAGGAGCTGTCCATGTGAACCAGCTTCAATATCTGCCAGTCTCACCTCACAATCTGGCAGGGGGAACTGACAACAGTGTGACATGGATGACTCTGGACATGTAACAAGCCAGGGGAAATCATATTAAGTCTGGTTAATAAAATTTGGCATTAAGGTAAGCATTTGATAAATGGAGAAGCACTCGTGGACACTACAAAAAAGGTTGGAGGTGTTCTGTATGCTTCTGTGATTCTTGTACTGAGTAGGCCTCAGCTTCCCCTGGAAGCTCCAGACTGACAGCAGCGTGAATGCAGTAAGAAAACAAAAGCCTAGCCAATTCCTTCATTCTTCCCAAGCTCTTGTGGAACTGTGATGCAGTAATTTCTGGCATTTGGAAACTCCTGGGAGGTCTCAGCAAAGATGCAACTTGGCTTTTTGAAGGTCAGGTTGGCTGTGCTGCAGCTGTTAATGATTTCACTGAAGATGGTTATGTAAAGAAAGCCCATCAAGAAATACGACTAACATGTTCTATTACATGTTATTTTTTATTACTATTTTATAAAGCTTAATATTTTTCTAAAAGAAAAAAAGCTGGTTTACATGTCAAGTAGCAAAGATACAAGTAGATAGCTAAAAACAGTATAGCTATTAGAAATAAGGGTAGAGCTAAATAATACAAAAACAAGAGCAGTAAGCAGCAATAAAATTAATTCCTACATAAAGCTAGCAGTGCAATAGTATAAGCAGAAAGCAGCTTTACATTAAAAAAGTTATTTAAATACAGAAATAGCACCTTACAAAAAGGAATTGAAGAATGTAAACTTGGTAGGTAGATTCAAGTATAAAAGTTATACCCCCAACTCTTGTACCAGAACGAAAAGGGTTTCACAAACCCTGGACAGTGTAGGGCACACACATCCTCAGTGCTGACTCAGCTGCATTTCCTTAGCAGGATCACCAACAATTACGGTTCTCTTTTACTAAATTAAGCAATGATAGACTCAAGATTGCCAATGCTTCTTCCCTACCCCAAAATCTCCAAATCGAGCTTAGCAGCTTCACTATCATCAGTTGTTCTGTAAGAGAATCATTTTCCTGACAGAAACCACCACTGATTATTTTTACGTAACTGAAAGCCACATTAAAAAATTGGTATTGAAAACAAAAGAATCTTTCTTAGTTTTTTCTATTGCTAAGTGTGGTCACAAAGTTGTCACATTATTATTTGGGGATTATTTCTTAATACCTCTCAAGAACCATGAATTCTCTGAGCTTAAGATGGTCATATCAGAGCTAAAAAAAAAGACAGCAAACAAGATAAATGAAGGAGAGAGCATCCGGAAACAGTGAGGGGAAAAAAAACAATTTGCTTCCATCTAAACATGGGCCTTTCAGTGAAGACATTTTGTGGAAGTTTTAGAGCATGATAGATTTAAAATGTCGGTACCCTGCTCAGATTTATATGCTGCATATCCTGTAATCTACTTGAAAAAGCTGTATTTTCATAAGGAACCCTCAGTATTAGTTCAGAGTAATCATTACTATGCAATTGTGGATGGCTGGAGCTACATTCTTAATCTAACTTCAAAGAAGACTGTAAAAAGGGGGAAAAATACCATCTTGTAAACTTTAAAAGTTTAGTGTTGATAAAAATTTGATATAAGTAGCAGATTTATTTAATCTGGCTACCTACCTCAAGTTTTCAAAAATCTTGTGGGGGTAATAAGGCTAACAGTATCCTGTAGTTAATATAAAGCTACTTTACTCAGACTCCCAGAGTCCCTTAAATTAATATTTTTATTTTTTCATATAACATTTTATTGGCTCCCCCCCAAAATAGCTCTATGCTAAGATTCTAAATCTAAGCTAAAAGTTTAACAAGGAGAAGAGAACAAAGAAAGGGAGAGAAGAAAAGGAAGTAGAGAAGGAACGAAGGATTCCATTTGAAGAAAGTAAGAGTGAAGTAAATATCAATAAATCTAGACTACAATGAAGTAATTTGGTTCCTTAATGAACCCCTAAAATAATGTACTTTATAAAGGGGTATTGCATAACAGTTTCCAGAATTGTATTTGTGCTAGAACAACGAACCTCTGCACTCACCGTTACTCTGCGGGAATGCCATCTAACTGTGGTTTGCATTTTCTTGGCAATGGAACATCATGTGCCCATTTTTCCTTCTACCCTTCTCAAGGGTAGAAAGAAATTAAGAATAAAACAAGTTTAAAAAAGAAGCCCAGAAGAATTACTTATTGACCTACATCTGTTTCTATACCATCACTGTTCAGTATTTCAATCAGAGTCTCACCTAGGCTCTGGTTTTCCAGGTAATTACTTTTTACCATCTTGATTCATTTTTTACAAATGATTGTTAAAAGGCATCCATACCTGGTGCTCTACAATTAACACTTAAACAAAACAACAAAACAAAACACCATAGGGCATGTAATGGAAGAAACTGAACACAGTGGAATTTTTACAAATAGTAAAACCTCACTGTTCTCACGTTACTTGAGAAGCAGCCATTAGGTGCCTAGACTTCACCTTAGTTCTCATGACTGGATCGGGTTAGCACAGTTCAGTCGTAGCCAGGTGTCATTCGGTTATTTTGGCCTCGGTGCTTGTCATATATATACATTTATAGAGTAAGTGCAGGGCAAATTAGAGGAAAAAGTACAAACATTCAAGTCGTCATACCCTGAAAAGTATGTGTCAGGCTGTAGTTGTAAACTCTTTGCACTAAATCCCATTTTAGGAACAAAATAAATAATACCATAGGATTCATAACTGAAGGTGGCTTCCTGATGAAGCCTAAAGAAGCAGTAGCTTTTTTTAAACTGCAGAAAGAAAGTTCTCTCACCACAGATTTACTCAGGGCAAGTGGAAATACATATCAAGAGTGCTTACCCTGGTTAAGTGCTAGACAGCCCCCCTTCAGGAAAACCACAAGGCTCCAGAAGCCTGTTCAGATCTATGTCCAGGAATCAGATGATTCTTGAATCAAAACCACATTAGTCAGTCAGTGCTTTCAGTGTGACACACCATGCAGAGCCTGCACTAGCTGGCATCACATGCACAATTAGTAATAACGACTTTCAGGAACATAGATGATCCACGACGCTGGGGAGATAACAGAACCAGTGAATGAAAGAGAGCAAGGACACGAGCTGAGGACTCATGGTTATGTTCCACTGAGGACATCGCCCGTGACACAGGGAAATTTAGGTGGCCTGATCCCACTCCACCTGCCAAAGCATCAGTTTAGTCTGGCCCGCTGCTGGGGATTTCTAGTCTCCTCTGGGCTGAGCTGGTATTTCGTGATTGATTCCTTTCTCTACTCCTAAGGACAGGGTCTCCAAGGCTGCCAGGTGTCTTGAAAAATGTCTCACGGTGTGTGCGTCGCATACTCTTTGGTGTCACTGGAACAGGTGACTGATCAAAAGAGCAAAATCAGAAGCAAAGTTAAACTCTTCTGTCTCTGAACTAGAAGCACTTTCTTGACTTGTGTCTTTGTGATTCCTGTGCAGGTCTCCCCTCCTCCTGACTGTTTTCCCATCCCATCTGTCCCTTTTACCTTCTTCACAATCCTTGCCCTAACTGGAAATTAATTTCTTGCTTATTGTAAGAGGGGAAAGCCCACCCACCGAAGAGGTTACAGACATGGCCAGGGTCTGGCTCTCCCATCTGTGTAAACTTGGGAAAATTATTTAATCCAATTATCTCTTAGCTATTTTATCAGTGCAGTGGGGATGACAGAAGTAGCAACATCAAGGGATTTAAGAATTAAAAAAGATGATCTTTGTAAAATACTTTAGAGCACATGAAACAAATAGTAATTGCACATATGTGCTCTTTATGTTTACTTACTACTATTTATCCTCTCATGCTAAATTTCTCCCCTTAGTGTGTCTTCAAATGGCAGGGGTCATTATCCTGCTATATCTTCAGTGCCTGCATCACTCTCTGGCTCGTAACTCATGGGAAAAAGCATGTGTTGGGGCTGGGGATGTAGTTTGGTAGTAGAGCTCTTTCCTAGTATGTTTGATTCCACAGTAGTGCTAAAAAGTATATGTTATGCTATAACCATCTTGTTTCAAACCTTGCATGATTTCTTCAATACTTGGCATATTTATGAGCCTATGAATAACTTGTCCAAAATAATTTTTTCTGGAATAGTAACTAATTACTCTAAATAATGCCTTTTGTATTATAGGAATTAAGTAAATACTGAGTTTGAGGGACAAATAGATTCATTTATACTTCTATATGTGCATTTTTATATATGTATATTGTTAATAAATATGTATATAATTTCCTCCTAGACATCACATTTTAAGAAAGAGGCTAAAAATTGGAGTTAGTATCAAGACTTATTTCCCTTCATTCTATCCTATGTAGTTAAAATTTACTATGGTTTCCTTAAATGACCTAAAGATGGATTTTTTTTTTGGTGCTGGGCATTGAACTCAAGACCTTGTGTTTGCCAGGCAGGCACTGTGCTGCTGAGCTACATCCCCAGCCCTTAAACTACCTAATGAAACGAAAGCATGGAGATCACTGAAAACATCTAAATAGGCAGCACTCCCCCCAAATCTACCTTCATTTAAATGCCTAATATAGGTTGCTTTTAGAAATAAAATCTATGAAGCACAGGGTTGCTCACCTTATTACTCCAGTGCTTTGTAAAAGAAACAGGTAACTCCCGGGTCCACAATGGAAGCCGGGTAGTGATTGCCCTAATGCCTCTATCCTACAGCCATGCTACTACAGTGAGAACTGGTTACATGCAGCAGTGGAGCCTGCAGGCCTTACCTGTTGTAATTTTACGACTGAGGCTGGATGTCCTATGTAAACAGGGGACTCAGGTTGGATGACGTTGTGTGACCTTGCCATCACAGGACTCAGGTGCAGTGAGGGCTGCCCCTGAAACTGAGGGTCTGCAGAAGGCAGCGTGGATGACTTTGGATTAATCATGGCTGCAGGGCTGATGAGAAGATGAGCTGCAGATCCAAGGCCAGGCAAGCTGAAATTCACAGGTCCTGTGTTTGGGAGAGTGCCAGGAGCAGAAGAAATCGGCACGGGCATTGCCGGAGAATAGACAACAGGAAAAGGGCCCATAGTCGGAGACGGTAAGACCATGCAAGGAACACTGAAGGATGGCAGCTGACCTGAGGGTGGTCCCACAGAGTGGGGGGTTTGACTGCCAGAGAGGAGTGCATGGAAGCCATTTAATCCTGAAACAAGAACAAAGAAAATCAATATAGCAGAGTCCGTTCAGGTTCACATCCAGATCAATGCATGATGGAACCTTGCCCCACTTGATCAGGTTAAACCCCCTGTCTGTGCTCTTTAGCTCACGTGGATGGTTCTTTCACATCAGTGGCAGAGATCACTGCCACATTTACCAGCATAATCATGTGGGAGATGCCCAGGGAGGCTTCTCACAGTAAGTTTCCCCGCACCCAAAATGAGGAGGAAAGTCAAACTTGGAAGGGAAAAATTATTTTTATTATTATGTATGAACTTCTACCTAAAAATTTATATTTCCTCAAAGATTACCAGAGCAACAAATCATAGCAGTATTAATAGTATTTTGATTTTGTCATGAGTAAAAAGTGAAATATGTTCACATTATTTTCTAGCTATTGCAGATTTCTACACTATTTGATGGTGCAACCTTGAAATGATGGCAATTTTAGACTTGTTGCCAGATCTTTTCATTACTATAAACAATTTCAAAAATTATTTTTGTACTTGTTCTTCAATATCATTGGTTCTTAGTAATCCTATGTTTTCAATTCTCTGTACTTATGAACACTGTGAAGAGGAACCCACAGGATTCTCCAGTCTAAGAGTCCATGGCTTAGAAAAAGTAAAATCTCTGCTGGGCTTTAATTTTCATTGAGCAGTAGCTGAGTCTGGTTTTGCTCAAAGTAATCCCAACACTGAATACCGTGCTCACAATAAGCACTCAGGGCTTAAGAAATGATAAGTGAATAGTAACAGATACTTACTGAATTTGTTCTGAAAGATGAGGCTTAAACCAACAAAAAAACCCCGAGAATCAATTTAAGCAACTTCACATCAAGAGCAGCTTTATAGAAAATATCTTATAAATTAGGTTTCTACTGTAACTATGTTTTAATATGAAATAATAACAGCATTTACTGTTTACTAAGTGCCAGACATTTTATGTCCCTTAGACTCAATATTAAATCTAATTCAGTATTCAGGTGCTGTCACTGTTGCCACTGTACCAATGAGGACGGCTGCATGGGCATCTTAAGTTCATATAGATAATAAGTGGCTTAAACGTCAAGCCCTTTCACTCCAGATCATGATGATATACTCAATACTTCCTCCACTTCAGCACACTCAAGAATGCTGACTGCACATAATGGTGAACAGGTTCCTACTAATACTCTGAACTAATGCCAGATCCAGTTGAATTACAAAAAAAAAAAAAAAACCACTAAAAAAATTGCTGTGCTTTCCCATCAAATAAACATATATATATATATATATGTTGCACTTGTGAGGCAGGTGGCAGAACCACTGTGCTAAATCCCTGGCCCTAATATATTTTTTAAAAAAGTCATCTGCTCAAATTTTCCCATTATTTCTTCAGTAGGTAAAAAAAGAGCAGCTCTATTTTTATACAGAGAAAACAAGATGGCTAAGTGTAAAATGACTCAGAAGCAACAGACAGCAATGTATGAATGAACTCCTTTCTTTGGTCAGTGATACAGACAAAACTAAAAATCTACTTTAAGACCTATATATCCTATAAGGGACTTCTTATGGTTTGGATAAAAAGTCTCATGTGTTCAAAGGTGGGGCGTTTAGAAGGTGATTAGGTCACGGGTATGATATATCCATTTGTGGTTAAACCACTGATGAGTTCACAGTTGAATATTCTGTTAGGAGGCGGGGCCCACTGGAGAAAGTGGGTCACTAGGGGTATGCCCCTGGGGGATGTATCTCTTGTGGCTCTTCTCTCTCCACTTCCTGGCTGCCACAGGTTGAACAGTTTTCTTTTGCCATGCCTTTCTACCATGCTGTTTCTGCCTTGGAGAGAGCCTTCTATGGACTGAACCCATTGGAAGCTATAAGCCAAAATAAACTTCTCTTCCTTTAGAGTTTCAGGTGTTAGCATTTTATTCCAATGATGAGAAGGTGACTAATAATTGCTGTAAAGCCATGAAGACACCTCTTACCAGCTGGAGACTGCACATAAAGATACTGCAGCAAAGATGCTTCTTTGGTGCTTTCATTTCCTTTTGAAGGCTTTTCAGTATCTGTGTTTCTTGAAGGATTTTCACACTCAGAAGAAACAAAGCAGTTTGCTGTAGCATTTCCTGAAACCTCTTCTGCCGCAGGGTGTGGACCATGCACATGAGTGTCTTCTAGGGATGCAGAGCCCCTGTTGCCCATACTCTTGCCAGGGGCAAATTCTATGGAATCTGAAGGTTTCTAAACATAACCAAACCGGGAAACATAAAAGCAAGTCAAAATTCCAGCAATCTATCTCACCACACTTTTCTGTCTTTCTTTTCTTTTTTTGGTACCGGGGATTGAACTCAGGTCCTTGAGCTTGCAAGGCAGGCAACCGAACCACTGAGCTAAATCCCCGGCCCCTCACCACACTTTTCTTAAAATTCCTAACACATAAACAGAAAGGTAAAACAGCCGAGTGCCGCAGTGATTCACGTGCATCAGCTGTTTTCATCCTGTTTACAGGAAGAGTGTGAAAATGAAAATGTTGCACCATGTGTATGGGTAGGCTCGTGATTCCTAAATATATCAATGCTAATGGAAATCTGGCCATGGTATTTAGACTATGAAATGTTTCTGAGCTGGTAACAGAGTGCTGATGCTCCAGCTTTTGGGGACCCTTCTAAGAACCGTGGGCTGGCCTAAAGCCTTCTTGATTGTCTAAGAAATGTGTTGTCAGGTTTTCACTTCTGATCTGCAACCCTAGGCTGTAAACAGAATTAGAAAAATGCATTCTGGCAAGAGAAAGGGATCTAAGAGCAAGGTTCTTAATTAATGGATGATTTCCATGCAGTGTGTCCAGCTGAGCCACAGCAAACAGCAGTTAACAGAGGTGCTTCTGCTTTCTGAGAGTTTTACTGGACATATGTCATTAACCTTTGCATGGCTACTAAGTGGGAGATGTGAACAGCTCACATTTTTATTCTTCTCATTTTGTAGCTAGGTAAAATGGATCACTGGGTGAAGAGAACTAAAAAACACAGGTATCGTTGACTGGCCAGCCAGCACCCATGTTCCCAACTTTGGAAATCAGCTGTGTCCTGCGCTCAAGTGACTACTGCAGTAATCCTAACTTCTTTTTTGAAAAGTATGTAAACGAGAATTAAACAAATAATGTTAGCAGTGGCTGCCAGTATGTGTTGAGTTAATGCATATTTTTTTTTAATATACTTTTTGACATTTTAAAAGAACTGTGATTTTCATAAAAATTGTTTTTCTTTCTCTTTATTTTGGTACTAGGGATTAAAGACAGAGCCTTAGCAATGAGCTGTATCTCCAGACTTTTTTTTTTTTGTACCAGGGATCAAACTTGGAACCTTGTGCGCGAGGCAGG